GAGGAAGAGAAACAAGAACCCACGTGTCGGTGGGCTCAAGAGCCGCAATCTCATCTGACATTGCATGTTTTCATTCGAGATGAACAATAGCATCACGATAAGGAGTCGGCTCAAGAACAGTTGCACTAGCTCTTGGAAAACCAGGGCGGTCAACAGGCGAAAGCGAACAAGGAATCGAGGATGCAGGCCATAAGTTGTTGGAAATATGCCCTAGAGGCAATAATAAATTGGTTATTATCATATTTCCTTGTTCATGATAATCGTTTATTATCCATGCTAGAATTGTATTGATCGGAAACTCGGATACATGTGTGGATACGTAGACAACAACGTGTCCCTAGTGAGCCTCTACTAGACTAGCTAGTTGATCAAAGATGGTTAAGGTTTCCTAACCATAGACATGAGTTGTCATTTGATAACGGGATCACATCATTAGAAGAATGTTGTGATGGACAAGACCCAACCGTAAGCATAGCATTTAATCATATTAGTTTATTGCTACTGCTTTCTTCATGTCAAGTATCTGTTCCTAAGACCATGAGATCATGCAACTCCCTGACACCTGAGGAATACCTTATGTGTATCAAGCGTCACAACATAACTGGGTGACTATAAAGATGCTCTACAGGTATCTCCGAGTGCATCTGTTGAGTTGGCATGGATCAGGACTGGGATTTGTCACTCAATGTGATGGAGATCTCAGGGCCCACTCGGTAATACAACACCATAACAGGCTTGCAAAATGTGACTAAGGAGTCAGTCATGGGATCTTGTATTACGGAACGAGTAAATAGACTTTCCCGTAACGAGATTGAACTAGGTATGGAGATACCGACGACCGAATCTTGGGCAAGTAACATACCACTAGACAAAGGGAACTGCATACGAGATTGATTGGATCATTGGCATCATAGATCGACCAATAAAGATCTTCGTGGAATATGTGCGAACCAATATGCGCATCCAGGTCTCGTTATTGGTTGTTGACCGGAGAGGTGTCTCGGTCATGTTCACATGATCCTCGAACCCATAGGGTCCGCACGCTTAACGTTCGGTGACGCTAGAGTAGTATTGGGATATTCACGTTGGTGACGAATGTTGTTCGAAGTCCCGGATGAGATCCCAGACATCAGAAGGAGCTCTGGAACGGTCCGAAGGTAAAGATTTATATATGGGAAGTCATATTTTGGCTACCGAAAAAGTTTCGGGTTTTACCGGTATTGTAACAGGAAGGTTCTAGAAGGTTCTAGAAGGTTCCGGAGGAGTCCAGAAGGGTCCCTCCAGCACCTAGGGCGTGCATGGTCTGTATAGGGCGTCCTATCCTTATTGGGCCAGGGGCACCAGCCCCAAAGAGGCCCATGCGCCTAGGGGAAGGGAAACCCTAAGGCGGAGGGCCCTCCACTTGACTTGGAGGGCACTCCTCCCCTTGGACGCCTCCCCTCCTTGGAGGAGGGGCTGCACCCCCAGGCCTCCCACACCCCTATATATAGTGGGGAGGGGCGTGGGGGCTGGGCACAACAATTCCCATGCCCTACGGCATCTCCTCTCTCCCATACTGTTGGGAATCGTTGCATGGAAAAAAAATCTAGGCACACGCAATGATCTATCCATGGAGATGCATAGCAACGAAGGGGAGAGTGTGTCTACGTACCTTCGTAGACCGTAAGCGGAAGAGTTTCACAATGTGGTTGATGTAGTCGAACTTTCTTCGTGATCCACGATCGAGTACCGAACGTACAACACCTCTGAGTTCTGCACACGTTCAGCTCAGTGACGTCCCTCGCCTTCTTGATCCAGCAAGATGTCGAGGTAGTAGATGAGTTCCGTCAGCACAACGGTGTGGTGACGGTGATGTGAAGTGGTCTCCGCAGGGCTTCGCCTAAGCACTATGAAAATATGACCGGGGGTGTAAACGGTGGAGGGGGCGCCACACATGGCTAGGCAATTGTCTGGTTTGTGCTAGGCGCCCCCTCCTCATATATATAGGTGGGAGGGAGAGGGGAGAGGCCAAGTGGCACCCCAAGCAGGTCTGAATCCTACTTGGGCTCCTGCCCTTGGCCGCCCCCTCTCCCCCATGCCATATTTGTCGGAGGGGGGAGGAAAGAGGGGGGAGAGGGAAGGAAGGGGGAATCCTATTCCACTCTTTCCCTTCCCTTCCCCTCTTTCCTTCTCCTCCTAAGCCAGTCCATATGGGGGGCGCACCAGCCCCTTGTGGCTGGTGCATTTCCCCTCTTGGCCCATATGGCCCATATCTTTTGCCAGGGGTGCCCAAAACCCCTTCCAGTGACACGATAAGTACTCGGTACCCCCGAAACACTTCCGGTGTCCGAATACCATCGTACTATATATCAATCTTTACCTCTCGACCATTTCGAGACTCCTCATCATGTCCGTGATCTCATACGGAACTCTGAACAACATTCGGTAACCAAATCACATAACTCATATAATACTATATCATCATTGAGCGTTAAGCGTGCGGACCCTACGGGTTCGAGAACTATGTAGACATGACTGAGACACCTCTCCGGTCAATAACCAATAGCGGAACCTGGATGCCCATATTGGCTCCTACATATTCTGCGAAGATCTTTATTAGTCGGATTGTTATGACAACATACGTAATTCCCTTTGTCCATTGGTATGTTACTTGCCCGAGATTCGATCGTCGGTATCTTCATACCTAGTTCAATCTCGTTACCGGCAAGTCTCTTTACTCGTTTCATAATACATCACCTCGTGACTAACTCCTTAGTCATTTTCTTGCAAGCTTATGATGTGTATTACCGAGAGGGCCCAGAGATCCCTCTCCGGTACTCGGATTGGCAAATCCTAATCTCGATCTATGCCAACTCAACAAACACCTTCGGAGACACCTATAGAGCATCTTTATAATCACCCAGTTACGTTGTGACGTTTGATAGAACACAAGGCATTCCTCCGATATCTGAGAGTTGCATAATCTCATAGTCGAAGGAATATGTATTTGACATGAAGAAAGCAATAGCAATAAAACTGAACGATCATTATGCTAAGCTAACGGATGGGTCTTGTCCATCACATCATTCTCCTAATGATGTGATCTTGTTATCAAATGACAACACATGTCCATGGTTAGGAAACCTTAACCATCTTTGATCAACGAGCTAGTCTAGTAGAGGCTTACTAGGGACGCGATATTTGTTTACGTATTCACACATGTATTTAATTTTTCGATCAATACAATTCTAGCATGAATAATAAACCTTTATCATGAATAAGGAAATATAAAATAATAACTTTATTATTGCCTCTAGGGCATATTTCCTTCAGAGACGTCATCGAGTCGTACGTGTGCTGAACGCGGAGGTGTCGTCCATTCGGCGCTTGGATCGGGAGTTCGTGGACGGATCGTGATTGGGTCGCGAAGATGTTCGACTACATCAACCGCATTTCTTAACACTTCCGCTTAGCGATCTATAAGGGTATGCATATGCAATCTCTCCTCTCCTAGATTGATCTTGGTGAGCGTAGGAAATTTTTTGTTTTCCATGCAATGTTCCCCAACATAAATAGGCAGAGACGAGGAAGATGGCGCATCATAAGTAGATGGTGCATCAGTAGATGCACCCGCACCATGAGAACGATGAATATAAAAGTGAGTAAAAGATGGAAGAATACAAGGAGGAATCACCGGGATAAACTCAGTTGATGGAGATGGAAGCCACCGGGGATGAAGGTGTAGAATCCTGTAATAAGCAAGGTGAGGAAACCATGGGAGATGGCAGCATCAATTATGTAAGAGTCGAAGAAGCAGGAGAAGTAGTACGGGTGGAAAAGGGCTCAACAGGAGTGATAGGAGCACCGGAAAAAGTGAGGAAAGTGATATCATCCACTGGAAGTTCAGGAAAGTGGGCGTGGGTAGAAGGGGCGAGACTCATAAAAATTCACATCCCAATAAATAAGCATCTGACGACCAACATGATAAAAAGTGATACCGTTTTGCTCACCACTATATCCTAAGAAGGCACATTCAACAGACTTAAGGATCAGTTTGGTGTGTTCACATGGGACAACAAGGATACAACAAACACAACAAAACAAATGAAGCGCCATCAGGAGAACGATCAAAGAGATGCTCGAAAGGAAGCCACCCTGCAGAGCAGTGGATGGCTGAAGGTTGATGACATAGGTGGTAGTCGAGACAATCTCTGCCCACAAGTGAGGCGGAAGAGAGGCGGTGATCATCAAGTCACGAGCCATCTCAAGAACGTGATGATGCTTGCGCTTAGCCATACCATTCTGAGCATGAGCATCCGGACAAGAGAACTGAGCAAGAGTAACCTGCTCAACAAAGACTCCTAGCAACATCTTGGGTACTCTTTAGTAGAGTCATGCGCTTCCTCCTGATCGTCCATCACGAGTTTTACACTTTTCCTGTCAGTCAGATTCATCCTCTCCATCATCTTCTCCATCCCTTCTCTCTCCTTACCAGTGTTCGTTGACGAACTAGCCATCACCATCGATCCCCCTTGACTTCTCCCTGAACCGTCCCGTGTGTAACGAGGGTGGGCAGGGTCGCCAGGACCCCCCGTGATCACCCCGAACAAACTAACCAAGAGCGGCAGAGAGGGGCAGAGCCTAGGGCAGGAGATCGCGGCCGGAATCTCACAATCGCGCCTCGGGAGATAGAGTCGCCCAAGTGCCATCAGTCCACTCGAAAACCTAGAAAACATTTTGGGGATTAGATTTGCTTTTATTTATAACAGGAATTGAAGATATTCATTCTCGTAGTAAAAATATACTGTACATTATAAGCAGAATCGCAGCACGTGCATGCCTGCCGTTAGATGAAAACCCAACGCTTATGATAGATCCACGTCGATAGCTGTTTTATCTCCTCTCATCTATACACAGCAGTACACAGGCAAACCGGTCATTGTTCAGCGTACCACACCTTCATCGTGTCATTACAGCAGTACATATACCCACGTTTCGACACAACTTACATGCAACTACGATCACGCCTTCACGGCGGCGCTGGTGGCGGCGGAGCTGAGGCTCTGAAGGTGCCTCTCGACGACGTCGAGGCCGCACAGCTCCTTGACGTCGGCCATGGTCGCCGGCACGTCCATCTGGAACGTCAGCGGCGAGTTGGCCTTGAATTCCTTCCTGGCCGCCCTGATGGCCTCCCGCATGGCGCAGTGCACCGACGCCGCCAGCAGCAGCGGCGGCTCGCCGGACGCCTTGGAGGAGAGCACGCGCTTCTGGTCGCGCGCGCTGTTGATGAGCTCCACGTTGAACTGCTTAGGGATGGTGTCAACCGTAGGGATCTTGTACGTCCAGGTGCCGTCGTTCACCACCAGCCCGTCGGCGTTCCTCGCATAGTCCTCGTTCGTGAAGAACCCCACCCCTTGCACGAACGCGCCCTCCACCTGATCCATCCAGCAAAAATAAATTCAGATTACAACGATCTTCAGCAATAGCAAGTGGATGTGCTGATCGGCGGCGAGCTCACCTGGCCGAGGTCCACCGCCGGGTTCAGGCTCTGCCCACAGTCGTAGACAAGGTCGCTCCTCAGGATCGTCGTGCCCCCAGTCAGCACGTCGATTTCCACCTCGCTGACGGCGGCTCCATAGTTGATGTATTTTACAAAGGCTGGGTCTGGCGTCCAGAAGGCGTGCGCCGACAGGTTCACGCTTGCCATGTTCGCTTGGGCGATCAGGGTGCTCCATGGCACCGGCGCACCGGACTTCGCCTCGAGGCCCTCTTTGATGGGCTTGAGGCGCTTGACGAGCACGGTGCACGCCTGCCTGACTGCCTCGCAGCTGCTCTCCGAGGTGGTGCTCCCGCCGGTGAAGCCGCCCTGGATCATGCTCAGTGAGTCGGCCTGGATGACACGCACTTTGTCAAGGAGTCTGTCGGCGTCGGGGCAGAGCTCCCCTAGCCCGAATGCCGTCATCTGCTTCACCTTGGTATACAGACCTTGCCCGATCTCCACACCGCCGACCTCCACGGCGATCGAGCCGTCGTTCAGGATGGACACCTTCCCCGGCGTTGGCCGGAGGGTCACCTCATAGGTGATCGGCACACATGAGATGCCGCGCTTCTTCCACCTGCTCCCGCCATTGAACAGCTCAACAGCCTCTGCCCTGCTTTGGTACTCCGCCGACGAGGCCAGCTTGTCAAAGATGCCCACGAGGCTGTATGTTGGGGCGTCTCCCGCGGAGTCGCTGTAGAACTTCGTGAGGCTCTCGACGCTGTGGAGGTTCTTTCTCCGGATGACGTTGGTGTCAGACCCGAGCACGGACGCCACGTGCTCGATGATGGCCTCGGCAATGAAGGAACCCTGCACGTCGCCGGGCGCCCGCACCACCGACTTGGACGACATGTTCGTCTTGCACAACTTGATGTCAAAGGCCAGGGCGCCCCAGTTGTACTTCTTCAGAGAAGCGATGGTGTAAGCCGGGATCAACGGGCTTAAGTCCGGTGATATCCCGGCGTTGATGCCGAGATCGACATGCAGCGCCGTGAGCGTGCCGTCCGACTTGAACCCGACGGAGTACTTTGCCTTCATCGGGTGACGCCCTCCCGCCATGATCATGTCCATCTTCCGGTCGAGGTACATCCGGACAGGGCGCCTAAGCTTGAATGCAGCAAGCGCACACGCACATGCAGCCTGAAGAACACAACAATTTCTCCATGATCAGTTTCATAAATATGTGAATCTCCTGGGTTACACAGTGGGGCACTTACATGGGATCCTTTCATTCCCTTTCCACCAAAGCCACCTCCAACCCTCCTGGTGATGATGCGAACATTGTGGCAGGGAATGCCAAGGAGGTCAGCGACGACATTCTGCGTGATCTCGGGTAGCTGTGTCGAGACGTAGACGGTGATGCAGTTGTCTTCGTCAGGGATGGCCAATGCGGTCTGCGTCTCCATGTAGAAGTAGTACTGCGATTCAAGCTTCACCTGTCGGAAATTAACAAAAGATACTAGGTGTCAATATTTGGGCCTTGTCTGAAACTAAGAATGCAGCCTCCTAAATATCAAGTGTGTACCTCTCCTGATAGGATCTTGTGATCTGCTTCAGACATCCCTTGGTCGAAGTCCCCAATTGGCTGAGGAGCAAAAACTGGGAGAACAGGGATGTAGCTGTCATGTTGGATGGCATCCTCTATTGTCAGAATTGGCGGCTCAAGATTCTCGGTGCTATACTCAATGATAGCTTGCTTCGCTGCCATATAGGCATACTTCTGTGTTTCAGCGATCTGAGTGATGGCAAAGGAATATGATGATGCGATAAGTTCAAATGACCTCTTAAAATTCAGGGTAAAAATATACTACTGGTTATGCATTTTCCTGAAATTGAGTTCAAGCGATTCAGAAGTAGGTACCACGATGCCAATATTTTGACCAGCAAATTCAGAAACCGGATCGCCGAAAAGAGCTTCGTGTCCTAGCATCGCCCAGCCGGATCCAACATTTTTTCCACCAGCAGGAATATCCTTTGTGGAGATAACTGTGATGACCTTTTCTGAAGCCAGAGATGATCGGAAGTTGACACTTTTTATATGGGCGTGAGGGTGTGTGCTGTAGATAAATGCTCCATAGAGGCAATCCTTGGGAGCAGGGATGTCATCAACATACACAGCCTCCCCTGGAAATCAAGAAGGAATATCGTCAAGCCCATGTTTCAGGACAGAAGTTAGATGTGCCAACAAATTTTTTTTTTGAAGAAATACATTCAGGGATGAGGCATTTCAAATGGTTCAGCATGATTGAAGCAGTGTACCAAAGATGAATAAAAAGAAATCCCAAACAATCTTGTTCAAGCTACAGAAATCTAAGAAGTTAAGTCCAGGACATAAATTATAAGGTTGAAGTACTACTACCACTTGTAATTCAAGAGTACAAACTAATATAAGTAAACACTTGTAAGCTAAATAAAAAAATGGAATCAGAGTGTAGGAGTATACCAGAAGCTTGCAGCTCGGCCCCGGATTTCGTGATCGGCTTGCCGACAGGTTTGTATTCGTCATTGAAAACCAGTTCTTGCCTTGAGCGAATCGGCAAGTCATCGTTGGCAACCTTACCATGCTTCTCGGGACCATTAGCACATGATCCATTGGGAGCATTCAGGTTGTTACCAAGTGCAGAAAGGAAACTGAATAAGAAACTGACAGCCAAGCTGACTCTGTATTCAGGGTGTGTGGTGCCTTCTGACGGCGAGATAACATCTTTCAGCAACTGAACTGCTTCAAGTATAACCGGTGCACTCACTGATTTCCCCTTCAGGAATTCCTCAACCTTCCGAGCCCGGGTGGTGTGATCGACGCCGTAAGCGCCAAATGCGAGGCATATATCTTCAATTATGAGCCCCTCTGAGGCTGCATCCCCTGAAGTCCTTGCCAGGAATGCAGAATTCACATAGGAGACAGCATTGCCGAATGGTCTGGGAGCTGCACGAGAGGTCTCGAAGATGATATTGTCTGAACCCCAATCAGGGACAAATATGGTGACCAGTATGGTCTTCACATCGCAGGGAGGCTGCTCCAAGAATTCCTCCAGTGTTAGGCACAGCATCTTGGAAGCAGTCTGGATTGTGACTGTCGAACCCGCGGCGAGAAGAACAGTGACGATGTCTGAAGCGAATGGCAGTCGCTGCGCCATGATTACGTTCCCACCGATGGTCCCCATGTTGCGGATGAATGGCGAGGCCACCTTGCTGAGATGACTGGCGATCTTTCTGAACACCGGTGTGCCATCGGAGAAGATCTCGATGGCTTTGGAGATGGACACGGCTGCCCCGATCTCCACCCCCTTGTTGTTCCTGTCGATGACCGAAAGTTCTGGTATCCCTTTGATGTCGATGTATTTTTTATATAGGTCTTGATCCTTGTACACTCCGGCACCAGTGTTTGACGCCACAATCTTGACGGAGTTTTCATCGAACCAGTCGGAGTCAAAGAGGGTATGGAGCTCCTCAATGCTCTTGGGATGGTACCAGCCATCTTCGTCGGCGTTCAACACTGGAGCATCTTTCATTTGAACCTTGATCTCGGACTTGAGAAACTCAGGGAAGGTGCAGACGGCGCCGCTGGAGTATTCTGGCAGCTTGTCGACGTCGGCAGGGTCGGTGCCTTTCTTCCAGAATGAGTTGAGGCCGAGGTCCTCGAGGTCGACGTCAGCGGCGAAGCTCTTGCACGTGTCGAGGATGGGCCGGTAGCCGGTGCAGCGGCACAGGTTGCCAGAGACAGCATGCTCGGCCTCGGAGCAGGTGAGCTTGGAGAATCCCGGTGTTGGGGCGGGGCCGCCGGTCTTGTCGGCCTTGACAAGGGCAGAGAAGATGGACATGCACATGCCGGGAGTGCAGTAACCGCACTGGGAGGCATGGAAGCCGGCGAGGCGCTGCTGGACAGGGTGGTAGCCATCGCGAGTGTTGCCAATGCCCTCGCTGGTGGTGACCGAGCAGTGGTTGAGGCTGCCGAGGAGCGTCAGGCAGGAGCTCGCCGAGAACTCGGTCACCACGTCCGTGGCCGGATCATACTTGGAAATGAGGACCACGCATGCGCCGCATCCACCTGCACGCAGCAACATGACATTGTAAATCAGAAATTAAACACTGCCGGCTACAGAAATGGTTGGGCAGGCCAAGCTACAGAAGAGCACAATTTTCCTTTTCTTCAAGTTCGGACCGCACTATTTCAATAGGCATTAACTCGGTTATTTCGAGAACCATCTCAATTCCAAACAATATGAATGTCTTTTGAAAACCAAATCTACTTAAATTGCAATTTATAAACTTTGTAACAAAACAATTGACTGACAATTCATGGTACCAAATCGCTAACATTTTTTTTGTACACTTGCCAAATCGCTAACTGCGAATTTCAGATTTCTATAGCCTATAGGGAAACTGGTAATGAGAATCTGAGATGATGCCGTGAAGTGCGATTAGGGCAAAGAGAGGAATTACTAGTGCGTGGTGCCTGTGCGGCCGGTTGTGCTCGTTGGCTGGGTCGCCCGTCGCCGGCTCGCCGCAGCTAGGTCCCTGGAGTATGGCCGCGCCGCCGCAGAATGGGGGATGGGTCGCCCTCGGCGCTGCAACTGGCTGCCTGGCTGCCGGGCATCAACGCCGCCTCCCCGTCTCCGCCGTGCGAGCTCCGTACCCTAGCGTGGCTGAATCGTGAGCGTAATGGAATTGGATTTATTTTTTCTCGACTCGAGGGGAAGAATCGGGAACGAAGGTCTGGTTTTCTCGTCGACTGGGCTGCAGTGGGCTGGGCACTCGTGCATGCTAACGATAGGTAGTATCTCGTGCCTTCAGTCAGGCTTCTCAATGAGTGGTGATTTTTTGTCCTAAATATAAATCATCAATCCACCCAGATATTAGGCCATGTATTATTGTTGGTAGTCCTAAAAAATTTATAATGTTGGTTATATATTTTTTATCTATGTTTTTGATTTTCAGCTGATGGAAATTCCAAATATTATTATTTCAAAAAGTCTAAAAAAGTTCAAAAAGAGTCTAAAAAAGTTAAAAAAGAGTCCGATATATTTTTATTCCTATTTTTTAATTCTTCAGTAAGTTCAATGGAATTGAACAACAAT